CAGGCAATAAAAACCGGGTAGCAGAGAGCTGCTCTCTCCTCTTGGTGGGCTTTGTTTTTTGGTTTTGGGGCTTTTTTTTGTAAGCGTTACCAAAAACCGGCACAACAAGTGGATGATGCGGGCGGGTGCTGGTTGAGCCGCCGTCTGGACGTGTCTGGGGGAGAAACTGCAAGAAGCGACACCCGTCCTCCCATCAGTGGAAACAGGCTTGGTACACGGATTACTTAACGTTGATTTACAAATCTACTGCAAAAGCTGGGCTTGGAAAGACTAGCGATCGCGCTTATCCATTCATTCTGTCTCACACACACACAAACACACCGCCTTCATTTTTTTCCTTTTGGAACAAGACTCTTGCTTGTTGCCTTTTTGCAAATGCCTGGGCGAGAAGCAGTGTCTGTGGCTGCGCAGAGTGCCCCCAGCCTAAGCTGCCTCACCGGCTCACTCTTGGCGCTCTTGTTGCACCCGGAAAGAAGGGAGAGAAATAACTCGTCAACCTGTGGTGCTGACTGACCACACACACCTGCAAATGTAGATCAGTTGGCATAGCCCCCTGCTCAGGACTGCTGTCACCAGATCCTTACACTAGCAAGAACAGCATTGCTATTTCGCTGCCTAGGAACAGTAAGTATAATAGCGTTTTAAAGGTCTCTTTCTGCATGACACGTAGGTACGATTTTAAAAATAGCATCATTTAATAGTTCATCTTCACCTTCTGTCATGTATTAATAGGTATAGCTATAAATTAGGCTTCTGTTTCAAAGGGGCTGTGTGTGTGTATTCTTGTGCGTGTGCTTGCATGTAGATGCTGCTTCAGTGCACCTGCAGTTGTGTTTTCTTGACATATCATATCACAGCATTTTCACTTGAGTGAGCATTGTACGTGCCTGTTTCCAAATTAAATTCAGTGAGATGTTCATTATGATTGAATTCAGTTATAGATTAAAATGTAACATTCCTGCATCTTATGTGTTTCTACAAATATAACAAGAGCTCTTTGTGTAGATACATGTATTCTTTAATATTTCATATAGATATATGTAGGTGTATCTATTACGTACGTACTCAAAGACCTGAATGCATGGTGTTGCAGTATTTTTATTAGTGTTTATATGTGTTGGTGTTTCAGAAGCATGCCTGTGTTTGTGTATGGATGCAAGTGCTGATATGGGTGGGGATTTTGTATCTCTCTATATATGACATACCCACCCACATCCTTACCCACAGAGTCGTTCAAAATCTCTGTGCATGTGATGTGGGTGTGTGTGTAATGTAGAAGTGTGAATAGCGTGGGTAGGGGAAGATTTGAATACCGTGGTAATAGATGACACAGTTTCATTTGATCAGTGTGACCTTTTAGGAAAACAATCCAATCTTCTTCTTTTTTGTTTTGTTTATTTTTGTGTGTTTGTGCATGTGCCTCAGGTTAAGTGCTTCTTCTGCATGACCATAACCAAAGGGTGACCCATCCACTCCCTTATGTCCTATGGGGACCTCAGAGCCAGTTTCTCAGTCTTCATCTCCTCCTCCTCCTCCTCCTCCTCCTCTTACCACTGCTGCTGACGCCCTGGGTGCTGCTCCCAGGTTTGAGACATTGCTGACAGGCTGAAGAAAGGATTTGCAAAGACCTCCTCACTGTGTAACTAAGGTGATGGCTGGAATTAACTTCAACTCCCCAAGTAAGGGTATTAAACAATAAGGTTGCTAGGCCAAAGCATTACCAGGAACAAATTATGAGGAAAGAGACTATTTGCATTTGGTTGCAATGATGAACTAAAACCATCTGTGGAGAGCAGGTACCCTTTGATTTGCATATTTTTTTCCTCATGAATGCAGTCTTTGTAGCCTGCAAGATAGTCATGATTCTGCGATAGCCACAGGAGATAAATGAAAATAAGGAGGCTTGGTGGACGAGAGAACAAGGCCTCAGCTGTTCCCTTGTTCAATTTGAGAGTTTCATCTTTTCTTATTAGCAAAACGGTAGTTTGTGTCAAACATTCCAGACAATAAGAAAATGCAGATCTGTGGTTTTCCAAAACATAGATTCAGTGTTACAACTATGTTGCCCTGCTCTACGTCCAAGGGACTGTCCTCCAAATGCAAATGGCTTTGAACTTTCTAGTGAAAGTTAAGGTTACACTGTAAATAAACCAAAACCTTTTGCATTTAAGTGATAAAAAAAAGCAGTTGCAAAATGGAGGTTGCAATGGTGAGTGCAGATAGCTCTGGGTGCAACACCCACATGCCCTATGGATATGCGGTCCAAGCTCGGGCCCGAGAGAGAGAGCGGCTGGCACACTCGAGAGCCGCAGCAGCTGCGGCCGTAGCAGCAGCAACAGCAGCAGTAGAAGGTGGGGCAACAGGTGGAGGTGGACCATATCACCACTACCATCAGGAACAGAGTCGAGGTGCGTCCTCCTCTCATGGTGGGAATGCATCACGCAGCAGCATGCCCCACCGCCAGAGTGGTAAGAGGCGGAAGAAAGGGAAAAAGAGGAGCCACCACTTGGGAAGTAGGGAGTGTGGGGCCTCCTTCCCCTGTTCTGAGCTGCTGCCTCTCAGTGGTTCTGAAGAGAGAATACTGAAGGACTTGAGTGAGGAGGAAGAGGAGGATGAAGACGAGGATGAAGACGATGAGGAAGAAGGAAAGCTCTACTACAATGATGACTATGGGGAGGATGAGTTTTCATACTCGGACCAGCCACCTGATGATGGTGGAGGCCCTGGGGGTTACAGCTCTGTTCGCTACAGTGAGTACGAGTGTTGTGAGCGTGTGGTAATCAACGTGTCAGGACTGCGGTTTGAGACCCAACTGAAGACATTAGCTCAGTTCCCGGAGACATTGTTGGGTGATCCAGCAAAGCGAGGGAGATACTTTGACCCTCTCAGGAATGAATACTTCTTTGATAGGAACCGGCCCAGCTTTGATGCCATCCTGTACTACTACCAGAGTGGTGGTCGGCTGAAGAGGCCAGTCAATGTACCCTTTGACATCTTCACTGAGGAGGTGAAATTCTACCAACTTGGGGAGGAGGCCATGCTCAAGTTTAGGGAGGATGAAGGGTTTGTCAAAGAGGAAGAGGACAAAGCTTTGCCGGAGAATGAGTTTAAGAGGCAGGTTTGGCTGCTGTTTGAGTACCCGGAGAGCTCCAGTCCAGCCAGAGGCATTGCCATTGTCTCTGTCTTGGTTATCTTGATCTCCATCGTCATCTTTTGTCTGGAGACTTTGCCAGAGTTCAGAGATGACAAAGAATTCATCATGTCCCTGAGCGTAGGGAAGGGGCTTTCCAATGAGTCACTTCACCTGGATGCTGGGGAGCACACCATCTTCAATGACCCTTTTTTCATTGTAGAGACAGTATGCATCATTTGGTTCTCCTTTGAGTTTACAGTGCGCTGCTTTGCATGTCCAAGCAAAGCACACTTCTTCAAGAACATCATGAACATCATAGACATTGTCTCCATCTTGCCTTACTTCATTACTCTGGGCACTGACTTGGCACAGGAGCAGGGCAGTAATGGTCAACAGGCCATGTCTTTTGCCATCCTGAGGATCATCCGTCTGGTCAGGGTGTTTCGCATCTTCAAGCTCTCCAGGCACTCCAAGGGTTTGCAGATCCTGGGTCATACACTCAGGGCCAGCATGAGGGAACTCGGCCTCCTCATCTTCTTTCTTTTTATTGGAGTCATTTTGTTTTCCAGTGCTGTTTACTTTGCAGAAGCTGATGAGCCTGCCACCCATTTTCAAAGCATCCCAGATGCCTTTTGGTGGGCTGTAGTGACCATGACTACAGTTGGTTATGGGGATATGAAACCCATAACTGTGGGTGGGAAAATAGTTGGGTCCCTGTGTGCCATTGCAGGAGTGTTAACCATTGCTTTACCAGTGCCAGTGATTGTCTCCAATTTTAACTATTTCTACCACAGAGAGACTGAGAATGAAGAACAAACGCAGCTGATGCAAAATGCAGTCAGTTGCCCTTACCTCCCAACAAATTTACTGAAGAAATTTAGAAGCTCATCATCTTCATCCACAGAGGATAAATCAGAATATTTGGAGATGGAAGAAGGAGTTAAAGAATCTCTTTGTGTAAAGGAGAAAAAAAGTCAGGACACGGGGAATAGCAGTGAGTCAGAGAAGAAAAACTGTGTAAATTCAAATTCTGTGGAAACTGATGTGTAATTTTGAACGTTTCCAAATATATTTATGCATTAAAGAGTGCAGTGAAAATAATGAAATATGCAAACAAGAGTCTACAGCATACAGTAGTATGCCATTTAATGGTTAAATACAAATAAAAAGCATTGCTAAACTTGTATTACATATCAAGTAAGTGGTATAACTTGAGGAAGGGATGGCTAGATCTGATATAATTTCAGACTTTATATTTTTATTAGAATGCAAGTGTTTTGCACATGAGGCTGAAAAATTTATTAAAACCAAGTCAGTTTTAAAGTGGGTGCATGAACTGTCGACATCACTAATAACAGCTCTGTGGTAAAAGTTGGCATTCAGAGGTATTTACTATGTAAGAAGCAATGCAGTTTGGTAGTCATTTATCTATTTATCAGTGCTTTAATAGCAGCTACCATAAATCATTGGATACCATAGTCATTGTTTTTCAAATGGTAAATTTATTGTAAAAAGATATTCTACAGAAGATAGATCTAACTTTTTTCCTTGGAATCTATAATGCTTGTTTTTAACTGGAAATTTACTTTGAAAAGGCTGCTGACCCTCCAGAAATTGTTTATTTTTATAACTCTCTTTGGAGGCATTGCAGCATTTGTTGTCTAATAATGAAAGAAATGAAGTAAGAGAATCATTTAACCTGGTCTGACTGCAAAGGCAAAATGACTGGAATGCTTTTTTGCACTACTTTATATGCTGGAGATATATTGAAAGAGACTTCATACTGTGAATGTTTACTAATGTAATAGTTCAATGACAATCATTGGAAGAGTGAATTCTGCATCATATTTTATTGTTTCTTTTTTTCTTTATGTGATGCTGATGGCAAAACAGCTAACATTACATTAATTCCATACTCTTTTTAATTATGAATATCTGTGATCTGGAAAAGGATTGTGAAGTAAAATTTTATAATCAAAATTATTTGAAATCAGTGTTTTCTACTGATGCTCTCAAGAAATATCAACCTAATTTATATCTTTTTCCTGGTTAATTTAACATTCAGAGTCTATGATTAGTACATGCACTTTGTCAGTATTGCATAAATTCAATGTATGGGAGGAGAAGGTAGAAGTAATAAGATACTCAGTTGTTACAGTACTGACAATTGAGAATTGCTAACTTTTAACATGCTATTATTGGTGCTGCATTTTCCCTTAATTACAGCTTTCACCCATGTGTATTTGAAGCAACATTTAAGATCCAAAATAGGCATTCTGGGATTCAAAATGAACACGTTGGGTCCCATGCAGTCCTTGAGAAAACATTCCGTGATTTCTTTTCACTGATTCTTAGGCCAGCTGTATTTTACTGTGTGTCAAAAACTTCCATTGCCCTTCCTAGGAGATTAAGGTAGGTAAAGATTATCCTGCCTACAGTACATTCCAGACTCCAGAATGAAATAGGTAAGATATTGCTGCATATAACATAAATAATAGATTCAGAACAGGCATTTTTTCAGACTTATAATTACCTAGGGAAGGCACAATTAAATTGGAACTGTTTTTGAAGAGGCACTGTGGAACTTTCCAGATAATAAAACTTAAAACAAATTGGCATATGCACTTTAAGGGCTGGGACAGGCCATTATAAGAGAAAAAGGGGCTTACCAACCAACGCTACTGAATTACAGTAGTTTTGCAATATTCATTTAAAGCTGAGTAGAGGATTTTTGCGGGGGGAGAACTAGTTAGTGACTGACGTACAGTTCTGGAGCTGAAAAGAGACGATAAAAGCAGTCCAAATTGGGCATAATCTATCAGATAAGCATTGTTTGCTGTATGCAGCATCCAGTGGTACCTAACAGAGCCATAGACATAGGTTTTTCTTTAATGGTTGATTTTTGCCTTCATGGATTTTCTGTGAATCGCCTCTTCGAAAAGTTTCTCTGCTTGTGTTCTTTTGTGTTGTAGGAGAACTAATAAAAACCAAGACACACGCAAAAGACTGCGTTGTGCTGAGCCCTGGTTCAAAATTTGTGTGTAAATGTCTGATTCCTAATTTAAAATCATAGAGCAGGCTTCACTATATTTTTGATGTGAAGCATTAAACAAAGCTCCTTTTTAGTGTGGTGATATTAATTCCAACTACGTTTTGAATAAACAACTCAGTAATTTTATACACAGGCATTTGCCAAAATTTAATACTGCATTTTGTGGTAGCTCACATGAGTTAAATGTACTAAATACTTTTTTCTACAGGGGCAATATCAGCAGTGAGGATGAGCATTCTGTAAAATGCAGCAAAAATCTGTAAAAGTGTTTCTTTAATAGCTTGCAGTTAATGATGTAAAGAGTATAACGGTTCTCTTGTAAGCTAGCTTGCTAGTAGTTCTGTATAATACCAGAGACCGTATAATACCAGGGAGCATGGCAAGAATGTAGGAGTAAAAGAAATACTAATTAGGTAAATAAAGAACTTAGAGAAAATAAGTAGTACGTTTGCAGTATTGGCTGGTTGAAAAGGAAGGTGGTTTATAAAAGGTGGAATTCTAGATCTCTAATGGAAATAAGAAAACTTTGAATAACTCTTAGAATATGTTCACGCTGTGGACGTGGAGCTCAGCATGAGGTAACTGCTTAAGTAGTTACCCAGCTTCTCCAGCAAGTCGTTCAGCTATTCTGCTACCAGAACACAATCTTTTAATTTAAAACAAGCGTGGCAATGTCTACATTGTGCTGTGATTGTAGCAGTACCTTACTCTCTGAAGGAAAAGGTCTCACCCTAGGACCTCGTAGCAGTTGGCAGAGCGACATTCTGGGTGCGTCAGCACTACATACTGCAGTACTGTGGAGACATACCCTAAGGTATCCTAAGGCAGGTGGAGCCTGCTCTGCCTCCTGCAATGTATAAACCTATGTACTTTGTCATTATAAATAAGAACTATATAAATAAGAACTAGCTTAACATTAGATTGTGCTATCAGTTTGGCAGACCATTCTGAATCACAGAAAGAATTGTGCATTCGGGAATGGAAGCAAATACCTTTACTGGGCTGGCTTATAATTTGATTATTCAACTACCCATCAGTCCAGTCAGTTACAGCAGCGTGGAAATACCAAAGTCCTACCCCTAACATGCTAAAACCCAAAGATCCCAAGTGCTTAACAAGAAACAGAAATTTCCATTAAGTATTACTTCGGTTGAAATTGTGTGCCATAGAAACACTGTATATAGCTGTTATGGCTCCACATTACTACTACTGCTTCTATTCGAGCTTTCCCAGTGTTACTGGATACTGACAACTCTCAGAAAAATAATTTTATCGTCACTTGGGCATTTTAAATTTTAAATTATAGTGGTGAAATGCATTCCTGATGTAACTGACGCGAATAGAGTTACACTAGGGATCATTTTAGTTCTACTAATGTAGTTCAAATGATTTCACATTGACATACATTTCAGCTAAAAATAATGCAAAATGGGATATTTTGATATTTCAGGTTGACTCGCAGTGGTGAAAAAAATTTGGAGGAGTTCCATTAGAATTCATGGAATCACAGCAGCATTAAATCAGATTTTGAATATAGACTGATACTTAACGGTGTACTAGCACTTATTTAAAGAAATTCGTAAGTCTTTTTATAGCAATCTTAAGTGCCAAGGCCAGACTCATAAGGAGAGAGTTTTGCCAGCTGAAGTATTGGATTTAATGCCTGACTTCAGAGATCTGTAATTTTTTTTCTTTATTACAGCCATGGAGTTTTCTGATGTTACATTGATTCCTTGAAATTTTTCAGCATGCATGCTGAAACTTGTATCAAAAAAAGTGTTGTGTCACCCTGTCAGGGAGTTCTTGGTGAAGTTTTTTAGTCTTCAGTTAAGCCTTCTCAGAATGATTCCACAAGAGGCCAATTCCATTTGATGGAAAGTGTAATTTTTTTGTTTGTATTTGAAGGAAAATTCTTCTGCTTACATAGTTTTGTTGCGTAGCGTCCATTTCTGTGATGACCATGTAATGCGGAATAAATTTGGGGGATCAAGGGAATGAAAAAACCCACTGCTATCATGATTACATCTAATTCATGACAACAGTGTTCTTGGTGTTTGGGAATACTAATAGGTATTATGGACTGCTTGTGGTCATAAACAATGGGATTTGAGTGTGTTTTTGGTCAGTAAAACTATTCAAATAGCTTTGGAATCTGAAAGTGATTTTGCATAATACTGGTGTGCAAAGACTTTGGGATCAGGCCATAACCTTGAATAAAGGATCATTATCTTGTAACTCCTGACATGGAAACTTCCTGTCACATATGCTTTCAGGTGTTGAAAGTCATTTGACTTGGGATATGAAAAAATCAGTGCTAAGCTACACAAGAATATGAAATACTTCCTCTTCATATTTGGATAAACGTGGGATAAGTGTACTATGGAAAAACAGCAAAATACCAGAAAATCTATTCCACGTGTAACTAGTTTGTGGAAAGTCTTTCCTGCACAGCACTGAAAAATCAAACGTGTCTTTCTGGTGATCCCGGACTCGTAAAACTAATTCTGAGTATAAATGAATTTTTAGCATAAGCTTTACACTGTACTGATAGCCCTCAAATTAAACATGAACGATCCATGGCGCTTTAGACTATGTCACTAGCTTCCTTGAACTATTTCTTACTAGTTCCTTATTACTTCTTACTGTCATTGTGTCCAGTTATAAATACAGGCTTACTTTTTTTTTTTTAATTAATTGGCATGAGACGGTAACAAATAAAAGCAGAGATTTAAAAAAAAAAAAAAATCTATAATATCCAGCATATAAGTTACATATTTTTCTTATCATTAAATAAACCTAAATGAGAGTCCATAACACCTGTAGACATGGGACAGGGTATGCATTTTCCTGTTGCTATAACTGAATGATCAAGTGCTCCTGATTTTGCAGTGAATAAGATCTAGGTTATAGATTTACCGTATTTGTGCACCTCTGGTTGAAAAAAATGCTTGTAGAAAAATTGGCAATTTTAAAAAAATGAACATTCCTTCATTTCCACAGAGATCATCTAATGTGGAAAAAACGATTGAGAAATTAATTCTGGGTTAAGGTGCGTAAGTGCTTTGTACTGGCAACCAGGTACAAACGTGAAACTTTACACATTGCTACCATGCTTTCCATGTATTCAGAACTCCGATGACATTAATTCTGAAGGAAAACTCATTAAAGCATTATTTACGGAGGTGGTTGAATTAATTTTTATTTTTAATCCTTTTCTGTAAAATTATAATGTACCTTGAGACCTTTTTCTGCAACAGGTCCTTTGGAAAATAAATACATAAGTATATAAGAAGGAAAGAAGAGAAATCTTAAATTACATGTCAAAATCTGATAAAATACTCTAATTGAGGGAAAGTAGGTAAGTAAAAACTTTTTTCCTTCACTTGCGCATTTGTGATATTGCCATTGAAAACAAATTGAGGTCAAATTGGTTGAACAGATCTGCAACTGTGTGTCTGTTCCAGGTACGTGGTGATCTCCGGAGCAGAAGCAGCTGCTGCTACTGCGTCATGCAGCGGGGAAGATGCTCACTGCGCCGCGCAGTACCACGTGGGGTGGGAGAGGGTACTGTGAAGTTTTAAGCTTGTCTGGTAAATCCATGCTCCTACCACAACTGTCCTATCTGAGTGCAAAACAGTGTTTAAATTATTTGCTCTGAAATACCATGTAACCCTTTTAGACAGGGAGGTCTCAAAGGCTCCGGGCTGCTAGTTCCTAAGCCACAGAGGGACTCAGGTCCACACTCACAACATGTGCTTTTAGACACGTGACTTCCGTTCATTTCCTTAGGAATTAGGTTGAAAATGCCTCCTGAATCTGGGACCAAGTGATTTGCTTGGGGTCAAAAGGAAGGCTGTGGTGGAGCAGGTTTTCCAAGTGTTACAGTGATTCCCACAGGAGTGAAGGAAGTGCTGGCACATATTCAAGATAGATTTAGGTCTCTCTTTGTTTTTAATCTCTTGTTCGAATGTTCCTGGGGCATTTGTGTTCAAAGTAGGGAGGAGGATGGCTAGATTCAGTGAGGTATGTCAAAGGCGTCTTTAATTTTAGGTATTTTCTCTGTTCTTAGCAGTCAGAATAAGCTAAGGTTTGTTTTTATTTATTTATTTATTTATTTATTTATTTTGTCCTAACACGTCTTACACAAACCGTTTCAGTGGGAGAACATACACTGACTCTGAAATTCTCATCCTAGATGTGAACGGTAGCTTTCTATTCAGAAAATCAAATGAGACACATTTCAGTATCACTCCTGTATTTTTAATTTAAGTATGCTGGCTTTGAGTCCAATGCTCTTGCACTGAAGTCATCTAAAATCTCTTGTGTCCATAATAGACAGTGCTTTACCTAGGACTGCAGTATATGGCGACTGAGAAGACAATTGCTTTTCCGTGTTTGTATTTATATTGATATGATTATGATGCTGTAGAAGAGGGATGTTCCAGAGTACTTCACTGCATCTTTATCTTCATTGCTAGGTGAGCAACACCCCACGGTATGCTTTGGAAAGAAATCCAACCACGTGCACGGGGAGACAGCATTCCCTTCTCTCCTCTGCCTTGTACAATCCGAGGATGGATTGCTGCTGGATGCACGGTGCTCTGTGCCTGCCCTGCACTGCAGGTTCAGCCACGTGTCTCACTTCTGTTCTGTTTAGATCAGTGAAGGTTTGTTTTCAGTCAGCCCATGGTACCTGTCCTTGATGTGGCTCATCCACTATATGAATGAACTTTAATTTCTGCCTTTTGTTGTCTCCCTATCGGTACAGCTTTGTAATGGATTCAGGGTGTCATTCAGTGACAGTTTCTTGTTGCACAGTGGAGCCTGACTAGCACAGTGAGCCTGAATACAGAAAACTGCAAAGGACTGTTGATAAGAAATAAAGGTACCTTTCGTTTTTCTGTCCAAATACAGTAAGATATATTTGTATT